TTGAATAATTAATTTATTTTTTAAATTCAAATAATATTAAAAACATTTCAATTTAGACTGAAATGGAATAGAATTTCCATTAATGGAATAAGGATGTAATGGAACATTATTTCTATTATCTGGGAGTTTTAATGGGAAAAGGAACAATTTTATTTCGAGAGAATAAAAAAAATGTTCTTAAAATATGCAAATGATAAAAAAGTATTATGAAATGTGATAACTATTGTGTATAATTTGTAGGAACTAATTTGATAGAACGACAAATTTGTTACCAATTTAAAATTTGAGATGAAGCGTAAAATAGTCAATGACTACTGAAGAATAAGGAATATAATGAATAGCAACTTCTTTTTCGATGAATAACTAAAATCTTAATATATAGTAAATTACAAGTACCTCTTTTCAATTTTTTAAAAAAAGTACTAGTAGCTTTACGCCGTCACTCTTTGAATTAATTTTTCTTGTGAGTTGTGATAAATTTGATGTTGAAGGGGCTTTATATATATATATCTATATATATATATAAATGCAATTTGAATTACAACCAAAAGTACTGGGTTTTGCAGAAAAAAATGTCGAGTTGATGTTGAGCTGCTTAATTGGTGATTATCCATAAGCCAAAAGGGAGAACGAAGAATTGAAAAATCCAAACGCTTGATAACTAGTAAGTGGTTCATATTTTACTTAATTGATGAAGATTTTATTCTCCCTTAACATATATGTACATTGATCTATACGAGTATGTGACATTATACCATATCATTTTACTTGCCCTAATTGAGCAATAAATATTTACTTAAAAAAAAAAAGCTGTAATAGTGTTTATGTAATAGTCTAAATAAAAAAAAAAAAGTCTTAAGTTCGAAACCTCCAGAGCACAAGGAGGAATTTTGTTTTGTTGGTTCTAACTTATATGAAATTATTATAATGCCCTCTTCCCCATGTGGTAAATTCTTTTTTTTTTTCTTCCTTATCCAGTGGGTGCACGCACAAACCAAGAGAGAGTTTGAGAGTGTTCAAAATTGCTCTCTACCCTTCTACCATAACCGATCATCTCTCCCCTCTTTACTCCTGGCTATTATCGGCGACACAGAAGGCTCGCCACTGCTCAGTGATGTGTAGACACTCTTTCATGCATGTAGACTCTGTTTTTCTTTTTTCTTTTTTTCGGTCTATTGCTTCTCTGTGCCGTTCACGTTCGAGTTGCAGTCGAAGTGAAGGACCAGGTTGTCGAAGCTAAAGGGTTTTAACTCATAAGTTCTTCCTTTCCCAACTCAACTGTGAGCTTCGTGGGTTGCTTCACTAGTCCATGCTCCTTGTTTTGTTTTTTTTCCTCTCTGTTGCGCCATCTGTGTCGTGCTGAGCTAAGAAAACTAAAAGATCAGAACTGGGGTGGGGCTATGCGGTGAGCTAGTATTGGTACTGTGAGTTAAGCTTTCTTCCTCTGCTGTGTATGGTAAAAGTGCTGTTTGTCTTCTCCCTTGTTCAGCCATAACCCAACATCCCTATTTTTTTTTCTTCTCGATCTGTGGTGTTGATAAGGTAAGGGATCTTCAAGTTTCATTTATCTCTTAATCTGAACGCATGTGATCAGTTGGTGAAGTTGCAAAAACTTATGCCTTGTTACTGTTGTTGCCGTGTTGTTGTAGGGGGAGAATATTCAAACTTGAGATAGAAATCTATTTAAAACTTGCTAATAATATATACATGTATAGAGACATATCTGCATATATGAGCTATCATTTTGGAACTACATAGATTTATTTGGATTGATTTATGTTAAGGAATTTATTAAGGAATGTTGGAAGGGGATAACTTTAATATTCTACTTGAATATTGGTATTAACGAGACGCTTGTTGGAATGTTTGAAATAATCTTAAAGCATGAATTTTGTTTGAATTTTAAATGATAATGGTTGATATATGCAAAGTAGAAGGAAGTCTTTGTAAATTAAAGATGATTTGTTAAATTTTGTTTAAAAATATCCTTATAGGACGTGTGGAAGAAGAGGATCCTGATAGAAATTGAAGAAAGCACATTTTGAGAATTTGAAACTTCAACAAGTAAATGAATAGCATTCTTTATAATTATTTATTAAAAATCTTTTATTGAAATATTTCATTTTTATTAATTATGTTAGTTTTAGAAATTTTGAAACAACGATGAAGGATAGTACATTATGATTTGTGCATTTTTCTCAAGAAATATATTTTTAATATTGATGAAAGCACCTTTGCTTATTGAATTTTGAAAATTTCTTGGTTACATGATTAGTACAAGTTTGTAATTTCAATTTGACAAGTTTCATATATTGAAGTAATTCATGCGAGTTTGATCTTGAGAATGAAAGTTTGACTTCAAAAATGATTATTTCTCTCGCATGTTTGAAACGAGATTTCTGAGAAAACTCATACATAACATTGATGCTAAGGAAGTTTGTTAGCCCGTAGTGCGTTGTGGTTAAATACTAATTAGTTTGTTTCGTGAGTTTTATTCTCACGTTTGGTATTCGTGAGCTTTATACCCGCATTTGATTCCGTGACCTGAGCCGCATTTGGTTATTTACTCTCGTAGGCTGTGTATCCACGTTTGTTTCGTAGCTTTGGTTGCGTTTGATTACTTACCCTCGTGGACTGGTTTGTTCACGTTTGTTTTTGTGGCATAAGCCACGTTTGGTCATTTACCTTCGTGGACTGGTGTTTATGTTTGTAACCTGTTCTGTTGAGTTCTCAAAATTTTAAATGTTGATTAACATGTGTTTTCAAAATTTACTTGATTTTGACTAGTAATTTGTACCACTTTGAGTTATATAAGAGTAGATTGTTTTCTTTAAGCATGATAACATAAATTATTTTTAAGTTACTCTTATTTTACAATTATGGATATAACTTATAGGCTTACAAATATTTGTGGAATCATTTTTAATTAGTTGACACCATTATTGGAGTTTATTGATTTAAATTCTAAGAATTTTATCATGGGAATGCTATTTATTGAAAAAAATTATTTTGATCTTAAATTTGTTAGCTGACGCTGATCCCACCATCGACCTCTAAAAAGCAACTAGCTACAGTGGGTGGATATTTTGATTGATATTATTGCTTTAATGTAAATATATAATTTGTATGTTTTTTTGATTTGAAAGAAAGAGTAGAGCTCCACATAGGTTATTGATAAATCTTATTTTTGGTCTGTATATTAGTTGCTGGTTGGAAGAAGTTACGCTCCTGATTTATACTGTTATCTGTAAAAAATTTTGTTGTAAAATTTTTGGAAAAATCTTAGTTACAGGGAAGGTTCTGCTAAAATTTTACAAAACGTCAACACTTTCTTATGATAATGATTTTAAAAAAAGTTATTTGAATTCTCATATAATTGATTAAATTTTATTCTTTTCTTTTATAAAATGGAATAAATATTTATTTAGAGGCTTACGGGAATGTGAGAGTGGTCCACACTCGTGCCAGTCACCCTCTATTTTTAGGGCGTGACAGTTTATATTTTTAATTTCAGAACTTTTACAAAATGTTACAAGTTTCATTGTTATGTAAAATCATATATATTTATATATAAAATATTTTGAGACCAGCTGAAAATGTTACAAGAGAGTAACACAAGCAGTAATGTTTTCATAAAGAAATATTGCCTCTGTATATATTATTATTAAAGATAATAATGCCCCTATTAGAAATATGTTATATCAATAAAAGTAATTTATAATTATTTCATCAGTAATTTATAATTATCATTTTAACTTTTTATAACTATAACTCACATATCTAATAGTTAAATTAATTATGTATTACATGTAATACTAGTTGTATACTACTACCCTTATAATTTATAACTTTCACTTCAATATTTTACATCTATAACTTTAACTATTTAATAGTTAAATCAATGATGCGTTATTAACAAATTTAATACTAATTATTTATAACTACCTCATTGATAATTTATAACTATTACTTCAATATTTATAACTGTAAATTTACATATTTAATAGTTAAACCAATTATGCATCGATAATAAAGTTTAACACTAATTGTTTACAACTATTTTATCAATAATTTATAATTATTACTTTAACTTTTTATAACTATAATTTTACATATCCAATAATTATAAATTACTTCATTGATATAATGTATTTTTAATATGAACATTATTGTCTTTACATCATAATTTTAAATTATACTCAGGCCTCTTGGGATCTAAATGTGATCGTTAAATTTTATGGAACTTATTTATAAATAAGTGTGCTTCATGGAACCCATATGTAATTTTATTTTCTCTCTCCAATTTTTTTTAAATTTAAGGAAATGCTGTTTCTTGGTTTAATTTTTTTTCTAAAAATACTTTTATTAAATGTTTGGATATATTTGAATAGAGATAAAATAAACGGGAGATAATAGTCTATTTATATTGGAATTTTTTGAACTCATTTTTAATTTGAAGAAGCACGTTTAATTTAAGGACTTGGCAAGAAATTTATTTGCAGACAAGGTTTAATAACAAATCCTATTTAAGAAAAAAAGTTTATGTTCACATTTTAACAACAATCTATTATGTATTGGTTCTAGTCTGCAAATAAATTTCTTGTCAAGTTTTTGGACATGATTCTCCCTATTTAATTTCTATGGAGCTTGAGCATTTCAAATCAAATATATTTTTCAATCCATGATCAAGTCTAATTCTATATAACAAGTGACAATATATATGTTACTATTTTATTGCATATTATGGTTAATTCAGAAATGATAATCACATCTTTTTGTTAGGATTGTTTGCAAGCAAAGATATTAATAAGGAAAAACAATTTTAAAAGATAAACTATGGAAATTGGAAAATGTTAAAATTCAAGCAGCAACCTTGGAAAACATGCATGTTTGAATTTAACAACAAAGCTGCATTATAAATATCTTCTTTTGAAAGATACTATCCCTCCTCTATCAAACTTGTTTGGCTAATAAACATTTCTTGAATTCTTTTTGTTTAGGATTTAGAGTTTGTCAATGGCAGAGATAGCTGCTTTAGCTGCTGCAGTTCAACTGGTCGCTCCTCCACTAGGAGAGTTGGTGGGTTTCGGGCTTACAGAGTCAAGGTCTTGCCTTGGCAACAAATTGCATCTTCCAAACAATTGGATAAAAGACACAGAGCACTGAACCAAGCCCTACCATGGCTACTTGCTTTGCGAAGCGACAAACACAAGGAAGTTGAGACACAAAGTCATAAAGATACAACTAATGTCTACAACTTATGGGTGAACAGAATATCTAAAATTGAGGCAGAAGTGGCTTCATTGAATAACAAATATGAAGAATTGAAGAAAAAGAAATTGCGTAGTTGGAAGAGATCAAATCTCAGTGAAAAGATGGCAATGAAGCTCAAAGAAGCAGTTGAACTTTCAGATCAACTTCCGAATGATATTCTAGTTGACAAACCGCCAGAGCCAATCTTAAAGGTGTTCAATATCCCACAAATTAAAAGCTATCCAACTCTTCAAGGTGCCTTGGAAGAAATTCTGCAATTGCTAAAAAATGATAGAGTGAAATCCATTACTGTTTGTGGTCATAAGGGGGTGGGCAAGACAACAATAATGTAAAATTTAAATAATAATGAAGAGATATCTAAGTTGTTTGATATCGTCATTTTCATAAGAGTGCCAACTAATTAGACTGAAGCTGAAATTCAACAGAGAATTGCAAATCGACTGTTGGTGGAAAGAGACGGGTTTGACTTTGCTGAATTGGCTAGAAGACTGCATAGAGAGTTGGAGAAGAAAAGATATTTGTTGATTTTAGATGAAGTTGTGCACCAGATTGATCTAAAATCTTTGGGAATTCTAAATGACAATAATGGCAGTAAGGTCATAATCATCACTCGATATTCATGGGTTTGCAAGTCATATTTGGTGGATAGGCAAGTTAGGCTCCCCTTGTTGGTACTTGATGATGAAGCATGGAAGATGTTTCAAGACATTCTTGGTCTTGTTATTGATACGCTAGGTATTCGACACATTGCTCGACGTATTTGTAAGCAGTGCTCTCGTCTTCCCCTTCTCATACATAAGATTGCAAGCTCTTTTAAACATAAAGAAACGACTTCTAGCTGGCAGGCAGGTCTGGATGATTTCAAGCCATGGCCTCAACTCGGAATTGAAGGCTTAACAGAGTTATATTCATGTTTGGAATTTTGTTATGATCAGCTTAAAGAGAAGAATAAACAAAAATGCTTCCTATATACTTCACTATGTCCTGTAGATAGCAAGATAGACACTGATTATTTAGTGGAGAGTTGGATAGCTCAACGCTTTCTTGGTGATGTTAATGCAACAATCAAATATCAAGGTTTACGCAACTAAGGCATTGATACACTGGAGAGCCTTATTAATGTCTCATTGTTAGAGAGAGGGGAGCAAATGATATATGTCAAGATGAATGATTGCAATAGACAACTTGCTTTCCATATATCATCCAAATATTCAGAACGTAGATCTTATGTTGAGACAGAAGAATCTGTGGTGACCTTAAGTTTGTAGTTATGGCAGTGTGCTAGATGGGTTTCTATGATTGGCACTAAAAGGGATACTCTACCAACAAACCAAGATAGTAGCATTCTTCAAACACTACTGCTACAAAAGAATCTAGAGTTGGTTAAAATTCCACCAGATTGTTTTGATAACATGTGCAATCTTCTTGTGTTAGACTTCTAAGGTACTCAAATAAGGCAGTTATCATCTTTGTCAAAATTAGCTTGTCTTAAGCCGTTCTATCTAATTGATTGTTCACACTTGAAAGTGCTACCGTTTGAGATAGAACCACTTCAACAGCTGCAGGTATTTGACATTCAAGGTACTAGAATATATTTTATACATGCTTGATTAATTTAAGATGCCTACATATCTCATACATCGCAAGCAGTGACCACAATAGAGATCAAGGTAATCACAATGTGATTTTAAAGCTCTGCAAATTAGAAGAATTGATTATTGAAGTGAAATCCTTTATGCAGTGGTGTAATGATGCTGAATATATTATACAACAAATTGCTTCTTTGGAAAGTCTAACAACTTTCAAATGCAATTTTCCTTCTTCAAAAACTCGAAAAATTTCTTGAAACTAACAAATCATGGAGAGATCAGAAACCATTCACCTCATTTCAATTTTTGTGGGCTGTGAAAACTCGAAACATGCAAAAATCTTGGATTCTTTTCATTATAGAATCTCCAAGCATGTAAAGTATTGCAATGGTGAGAAGAAAGATGACTTGGCAATCAATGGGATATTCCCTCAAGTTGAGGCATTTGAGCTAATTTGTCACAAGGACATTAAAAATATATCAGAGCTTACAAAGACAACAAGCTTGGACTGTCTTCGTGGCTTTCATATCAAAAGATGCAATCAAATCTTAACCATTGTTGTTGGTGATAAGGTCTTCAATGCTATTAATGGCATTATACTTGAAAATGTAAGTGTTATGCAAAATCTTGAGCAACTATGTTTGGATAATTTGCTGAATTTGAAGTGTGTTTTCAAGGGTCCCTTACATCCGACAAGCTTTTCCAAGTTACATGCTTTAACATTGAAGAGCTGTCTGATCATGAGAAGTGTCTTTTTCAAGGTACCAATTCAAGATTTTTCAGAACTTCAAAATTAGTAGTTGAAGATTGTGCAATAATTGAGGTTCTCATTATGCTGAGAGAGGTCACTGAAAGGGAGTGGAATCTACTTCCAAAATTGAAGGTGATAATATTGGCCAACTTATCAAAATTGAAAACCATATGCCTAAATGAAAATTTGGCATGGCCTTCTTTGGAGCTATTACATATACAGAATTGTCCAGAGTTGAGATCTTTAGCTTTCAACATGACCAATGCAGCTAATCTAAGAACTATCAAAGGTGATCGAGGATGGTGGAGCAATTTGGATTGGACAGATAACCAGGTTCAAGAACGATTTCGATATGCATTTTCATCTTCAACTTGATATTTCTTGTCTCTTTGGAGCTGTTACATATACAGAATTGTCCAGAGCTGGGATATTTACCTTTCAATATGACCAATGCAACTAACCAAAGAACTATCAAAGGTGATAGAGGATGGTGGAGCAATTTGCATTGGACAAATAACGAGGTTTAAGAGCGATTTCAATATGCATTTTCAACTTCAACTTGATATCTTGTCTCTTTATGGTACTCATAATAATTAGTGTCTATGTCAAAAATTTAAAACTAGTTTGTTCAAGTAGCTGTTTGATTGAAATGTGTTTCCTTGTATCTCATAATAAACAGTACTTGCGTGAAAAGTACAAAACTTGTAGATTATATTATGCTTGTAGATACTACTGTTTCAAGGTTTCAAATATCCTGGTCTCGATGGATTTGCTAGATTTTGTTGATAGTTTGGAGATGGACTTAGTTGAACTAAACCTTATGTCCTCTACGGATGTTTACTGCAGACTAATTTCTTCTTTTCACTATAGTTGGTTATGTTTGCAACGTAACTCAATTGAGCAATGGTGTCTGCATACATTTGTCAAGTTCTTTTCACCTTATTTCGTTAGTTATACGCTAAAAAGCTTTTGTATGTTTTTGAGCTTCAATTGATGTGATCAGAATCTCTTTTTATTGTTTTGAAATGAAAAATGGGACCCTCCAAATAGTCTCGTTTTGTTTCTTCTAGTTTAGATTTTGGTGGGATACTACTACTTATACATATTTCAATACGAAGGTAATGAGAGGGAAAGAGATAGCATAACGTGGGTGATTGAATCTTACCATCTCATTTGTGTTTGATCTGATAATTGTTCTACATGGATGTGTTCGAATTGGGTTCTTTGAAATTATTTGACAATAGTTGAGATTGAAAAAAAATTCCTCCTCCAATAAAATTACCAAATTACCACATAGATAAATAAATAAATAAACCACCAAAAAGACAATATCAATTGATGTGAGACTAAAAACAAAAAACAAAATTAATTGATCAAATATATATTTTTATTTTTAAAAAGAAGATACAAGTAGTGTCTTAGGATGGTAGCGAAGAATATTCTTTCTTGGGACACTAGAGATAAAAAGTAAAACTCTTTTAATTAAATTTGCTCATTCATAAAAATAGGGTCAGATTTCTAATTAACTATTTGTTTAAGACACAATGTATAAATTAATAGCATAATATGGTGGACTATTTAATCGGGACTTGCTAAGCTCATTTTCAAATATAAGCCTTTGTTCAAATTTCAATATCCCCAAAACTTTCAATCAAAGAACAGAGGAACGATCAACCTAGATATGGGGAAGAAATTGCATTAACATCACTTGGGTCTTTTCATATACAAAGGCTAAAACATGGAGAAACATGTCATATACCGTCAAATCGTTAATCTATGATGGAAAAACAAAAAGGAATGTTCAAGTTATTTGTTGGACTAATTTTAACAGATTGACATGTAGATATTAAAGTATTAATTTTTTTAAATGCTTCTAAATTTAATATGTTTGACTTGTAAATATTAAATTATTGGTATTGTAGGCGGTTGGCTCGTAAATATAAAAAATTTAAGTTGTAAATATTTGATGTTTCACATGTAAATATTAAAATATAAATATTTTAATAAAAACATTTTTAAAAAAATTAATTTGGACAGGCTAAAAAATCAATTTTTAAAATTTGGTTATCAATTGGATTTTGATATCTTAAATATGAAAAGAGAGCAAGCTCAAATGTTATAACGACAATCAGCAGGCTGCCCAACATAAGATTAAATGAAAAAGGTAATGATTTAGAAAAAGTGTAACTGGAATGAATTAACATATTAAAGATGTTTCCAAAACTTTTAATGTAGAATATTATCAAGAACTTAAACAAAAAAAACAGAGAGAGATTCAGATAAAAAGAATTTTCTTCATCTTCGCATACAATACTCTATATTCATCAGATTATTTCAACACAGGTACACTACGCTGGGTGAGCAAGTGGGTCGCTTTAACCTTCCTTTGTATGGGTCAATGGTTTATGGTTTAAACCTGTCTATAAGCTAATAGGATTAGTTAAACCATTGGTTTCAAGATTCGAAGAGTCACTTTTAGGAAACTCAGTGGAAGAAAGTTCATGTGCATTTTTATTATAAATACTGTAAGCTCTATCCGAGCATTGACAGAATTTCCCTCATTTCATATATTTGATCTTTGTTTTACCCGGCGGCTACTAAGAAATTGAAAGTGGGATGGTGATGAATCAGATGATCAGGACTCGGATGTATTAATGTAACATCATTTACAGGTGTCTGAATGCTGCGTGCTGTGTGGTAACTCAGAGGAATCTATGAATCATTTATTTCTACATTGTGATTTTGCTAGAGTTGTGTGGTTCTCTATGAATATCTCTATAAGATTTGGAGAGATTTCTGACATCAAATCTTTTTTGATCTGGTGGATTAAGAAAGCCATTCCTGATAAGCAGTGGATGACATCTCTAAGGGAGGTTCTTCTTCTTGTCCAAATTCTATGGGAATGCCGAAATAGGAGAAAATTCAATGCAGAGGAAGTCTCACCAAAGGAAGTCAGGGCTAGAATCAATTGGTATTTTGCCACCATTAATTTGGCAATATCTAATCATATGGAAAAGCAGGTGCCTCAAGAATCATCGGCAAAGTATCTTCAATCTCCTCAAATGGAAGGTATTAGAAACGGTTGGTATCTTTATATTGATGTTAATACAAGTAATGGCAGAAGCAGACACCGACTGAGGGAAAGCAGAGTACTAATTTTTATAGAATTTTCTTACTTCAATGGAAGAAGAAATAAAGTTTCCCAAGGTGAGTGTCAGAAACAATTTGTTTTGATGGAAAGGAGATCAGCTCTTAAATGGATTACTGCTGTTGATGGTTTTGGTCCTCTTGGTTTTACTAACGTTACTATAGTTGTCATCAAGAGAAAGTTATTCAGGAACATTACAAACAGAGCACCCAAAGATCCTACAGCAAAGATTTTATGGGGTGATATTCAAGCTCTTCTCAATTTCTTCCAATACTCTTGGATAGAATTATTACCTGAAACTTGAAGAGCATGGTGGAATTTTATTTCTTATTCATCTTTTATCTGTAATAATATTTATTTTCTGGTTTGAACTTTTTGTAGTTGTTACTTAGTTCAAAAAAAAAAAAAAAAAAAAAGGATCTTGCCCAGGTTGCAGGGGCGGACCTCCCCAACCCCAGCCCCTAAACACCTATATGTAGTTATATATATGTCATCCGTCCAATGAATTGGTCTCACTTCTCACAAATCATAGAGCAACACAACAAATATATTTAGCATATTATATATGTGCGTAATTATAATACAAAATAGACATGCTTCTCTTATATTTGCATATTTAAATAGAAGTAAAATATATTATATTTAGTTATTTTTAGTATTAATCTTTTATTAATGAAAAGAAAAAACTGTATATCTCTTATATTTGCATATTTAAATAGAAGTAAAATGTATTATATTTAGTTATATTTCTAGTATTAACCTTTTATTAATGAAAAGAAAAAAACTGTATATTTATGACATACTATATATACATACACAAGTTAATTTTTTTAAAAAATAAATTGTCTTGAATTATCATACATATTATCTATTGGTATAGGTAACTATTTAATGCCTTTGTTACTCAATTTGAACATAATATCAACAAATAATAATTTAATTTGTCAAACATCTAATTTTCAATGCATATATTGATTTCTATGCCAAACAAAAAAATGCATATATTGATTTATTTTTTTATAAGATTTTTTTCCTAATTTCTTGTTCAGGATATCGATATGTAAAGACAGATGAAAACATATTTATAATATAAACATCTTTATATGTTCCATATAACAAGCTGATTTCCTTGCAGCTATTGCCTATAAGGAGTTGTACCAGATAGGATGGATGACCGAGCCAACACCTTCCTTGTCTTCTATTCTGACCTCAGATGTCCATGAAGCTCTTATGTCCTCTCATGTTATTCCTACTCCTGCCGTTGAAAGCTGTTCAGTTTTATCTTTACGCATTTCTACTGTCATTGGCTTATTATGATATTTTCTAATTTTCATTTGTAGATAAAAGAAGAAATTTTATTTATGAAGAGAGACAATGCATTAGAAGATGGTGAAGTACCCTCATAAGATAAAGTTTAACATACAAGAGTTGAAGCAAGAACAGATAGCATAATATAACCAAGAGACTAAAGATGCAACAAACTTCCCAATCCCTCTACATATGTAGTAAATTGTCTGGTTATGAGAAGCCATGAACCAAGCACCAAAGAGAGAACATACAAGCCATCCTATCCCATAATGGCATAATGCATTGCCCTAAAGACTGACCTAATGTATTGGATCACAGCAAAGACTGAATTGCCTTTCCCCTCCTATCTGAGTCCTTTGTATTGTACGATGAGAGAAACATCTCTAAATCACATTATGCCCAATTCTCACCAGAGATCCAAAAAAAAAAAAAAAAAATTATCTCACATGCAAGCATTCATTTTTAAGTGTAATGATAAATGAACATCATTTTCTGCACTAGATATATACTCCTGCCGGTCTCTATTATAGGATGTATTTTAGAAGTATTTGTTGGTACTTAATATAAGATATTTGATGATATATTAATTATTTTTTTTCCAATATTTTCCGTATTTAAACTCAATAATTATTAGAGATAATGAAATGCAAATTTGAAAAATTTTCTTGAAAGTTTATTGCATTTTCATACAAAATTAATAACTTAACCACCCCTCTAGCTTTGTTTCGGTGAGGTAGTTATAAAAAAAAGGTAAAAATAAGTTAGGCTAAGCTAGGCTTTGGTCAAATAGGTCTGAGCTTGTGTAGTAAATTAGAAGCCTGAGCCTAACTTGATTCAATGAGGCAGTTATAAAGTTTTTTCCATGGCTCAGGTTTGAGCCAACTTAAAACTTGGACTAGCCTAAAAACTTATTTAAAAA